CTGTTTCATACTGACTTTAAAAATTACTCGATGTAAATGAAATATTAATGAAACTTCATGCACACAAGTGTAAATTTTCCAGCAATAATACAGTATTTTCTACAGCTTTCAAAGAAATAAAAAACGATGGGTCTGTTATTCAGCTTTGTACTAATATAGGAAAGCTATAATGACTATTAGTTTGTTCTCTTTTTTTGTGTGTGTGTAATAAGGTCAGGTTTTTATTGTGGACTGACTCAATTTTATGTTTTATGTATTGGTCTTTCTTTTACTTATTTCTCTTTTCTTTTTTTTCTTTGTGTTGTTGAATGAATGAATGTGTAATCTAAAGCAGTCAGGTTGGTTAAGTCATTTTAAATAATATATACACTACCGTTCAAAAGTTTGGGGTCGGTACGATTTTAAATACTTTTAAAAGAATTCTCTTCTGCTAACCATGGCTGCGCTTATTTGATTAAAAATACAACAAAAATCAGTTATAGTATTAAATATTAATCCAGTGTAAATCAGCTGTTTTCTGTGTGAATATATAGTAAAGTGTCATTTATTCCTGTGATCAAAGCTGAATTTTCAGTGTCAGTGTCTTCAGTGTCAAATGATCCTTCACAAATCAGTTTAATATGAGGATTTGATGCTCAAAAAACATTTATTATTATCAATTTTGAAACAGTTGTTGGTCTGTCAGTTGTAAAGTTTTTTTTTAGTTTTTTTTTTAGGATTCTTTGATGAATAGGAAGTTCAAAAGACTTTTGTAACATTATAAATGTCTTTACTGTCACTTTCGATCAAATTAATTATTCCTTGATAAATAAAAGTATTGATTTCTTTCCTACAAAAAATAAAAAATAAAATTCTCACTGACCCCAAACTTTTGAACGGTAGTGTATATAATTTAGGGTTTGGCACATTGTAAGCTTCCTGATGTTTTTACTCTGTAAAACAAGCATGTGTATTCATCTATTTGGTGTAAAATAATGATCTATAATCTTTCATATTTGTGGTCAAAAATGACATCTGGTTTCTGTGAGATCTGTTTATGTCAGTATGTTTTGAATCATGTGAGAGATTATTCTTTCTTCACATTCATGTTCCTAATTTTTTTTTCTTTCTTTCTCTCTCTCTCCCCCATCCGTGTCTTGGAATGTCTGCCGACGGGTCTCCCATTGTCCTCATCCATATGGCCACATTATGGGGTCCTGTCACCAGGCAACAGCAGGTTCTTTTGCGGTTGCCATGACGAAGATTCTTTAATGACGTCGTAGCTGCCCCCATGTGCCTCTCTTCATTATGGATGGACGGTCCTTTTAAAAAGTCTGGGCACCTCCCCCGAGTGCCCTCCTCAACTCCCCACCCAAAACACACACACTCACTCGTTACTCAGCCTCGTAACCTCCTCAGCTTCCAAAGGGTGACTGGAACTAACAATCCCACAATGCCGGCTGAAAGAACTGGTGTGGATATTCATACAGGCTCTCTATTGTGTTGACTGAGAGAGGAGGGTCTGGGGACGCAGTGCTGTTAACAAACCCATAAACTACAGAAAGAGTTTGCACTCTAGAATTTTATGTCCAGTAACCAAAGAAATTACTTTATGTGGCAACAACTAAATGAACTAGTTTTGTTAAAAAAAAATAATAATAAATGACATTTTTATAGTAAGATTATAAACAATTTGACATCCATATTGTTCTAAAAGTAAGATTGATTTGAATAAATAGGCTACAGTACACTTTATCTTAGTGTCATTGTTACACGTTACAAGTTAATAACTATAACTTCTGCATAATTACATGCAACTAGCCCTAAACCAAACCCTAACCCTATAGTAAGTATACATGTTAATTATTATTGCACAGTACTTAAATGCATAATTACACTGTAACACGGACACCTTAAAATAAGTGTAACCATAAATACATCTATAGTTGATATTAGTGTCAGTTGTGTCTCGTCACTCATTGTTTTTTATGCCTTGTAAACTTGAACATTTGTTTTGATATATATCCAATAACGTAAAGTATATTTAGCTAAAATAGAATAATATATGACAGTCTTGGAAGCATCAAACCAATCAGTCATGTTTTACACTATTGTTTTTCAGCAAAAGTCTAGGAATTCATCACTTTCGTGAAGTAGTTTACAGTTGATTAATTTAGCAATTATTGCAAACTAAAAACCAGATGAATTATTATTTTTTATTTTGAGTAAGGAAAACTATATTTGTCTGATGGATAAAAAATGCTTCTAGAAATAAAATGCAATGTTTTGCAGGGCAAATAAGTCAAATGGCCTGAATGTGTGAACAGAACAAAAGTTGTTGTTGAATCCAGAATGTAAACAGTCGGTTGTTCCAAACTTCTTTTTCTGAGTGTGTTTTTTGTACTAGTGCACTTTTATACTGGTACTAACCAGTCAAATCAGGTCATGCAGTCCTGCCGCACACTCTTAAGTGTGACTGACGTGTTTTTGCAGCATTGAGTGGCCATATGACCAGCTAAGCCTTCAGAAACAAGGTTTTGGAGAAAAAGTTGCACTTATACTTCACAACTGACTGTACACAGTTTTTCATTTTCTAACCGCTCGGTTCTGAGGTACTGTGTCAAATACTTCCCATATTCACAGTGTCATTTTAATGAATTGGTGAGAACCTTCATTATAACTTTAAAGGAATAGTTCACCCAAAAATTAAAATTCTGTCATTAATTACTCACACTCCAAACCCGTAAAACTTTTGTTCATCTTCAGAACACAAATTAAGATTTTTTTTATGAAATCTGAGCTACGCAACTACCACTTTGACGCTTTAAAAAGTTCATAGAGATCATAAAACGTATCCGTATGAATTTTCGCGTGTTACGCAGCACTTTTGAGTTTCCGCAAGAACCAATGAGGTTCATTCTCGTGTTACGCAGCAAATTTGAGCTTCTGGAAGAACCAATGAGGTTCATTCTCGTGTTACGCATCACGTTTGAGCTTCAGCAAGAACCAATGAGGTTCATTCTCGTGTTACGCAGCACGTTTGAGCTTCTGGAAGAACCAATGAGGTTCATTCTCGTGTTACGCATCACGTTTGAGCTTCAGCAAGAACCAATGAGGTTCATTCTCATGTTACGCAGCACGTTTGAGCTTTTGCAAGAGCCAATGAGGTTCATTCTCGTGTTACGCATCACGTTTGAGCTTCAGCAAGAGCCAATGAGGTTCATTCTCGTGTTACGCAGCACGTTTAAGTTTCCGCAAGAACCAATGAGGTTCATTCTCATGTTACGCAGCACGTTTAAGTTTCCGCAAGAACCAATGAGGTTCATTCTCGTGTTACGCAGCACGTTTGAGCTTCTGGAAGAACCAATGAGGTTCATTCTCGTGTTACGCATCACGTTTGAGCTTCAGCAAGAACCAATGAGGTTCATTCTCATGTTACGCAGCACGTTTGAGCTTCAGCAAGAACCAATGAGGTTCATTCTCGTGTTACGCAGCACGTTTGAGCTTCAGCAAGAACCAATGAGGTTCATTCTCATGTTACGCAGCACGTTTGAGCTTTTGCAAGAGCCAATGAGGTTAATTCTCATGTAACGCATCACGTTTAAGTTTCCGCAAGAACCAATGAGGTTCATTCTCGTGTTACGCATCACGTTTGAGCTTTCGCACGAGGTTTGTTCTCGCGCATCAAGCAGGTTCGGTTGAGCTTCTGTTTATGTTCAATGATGAATGTTTAAATGTGAATAAAATACTAAATTCAATCATCATATAAAGTGATCGAGTCTCTTCAGAAATTTTGACTAAAATGCATAATTCATATGGATTACTTTTACGATCTCTTTATGCTGTCAATGGAGGGACAGAAATCTCTCAAATTGTATTAAAAAGATCTTCATTTGTGTTCCGAAGATGAACAGAAATCTTACGGCTTTGGAAATGACATGAGGGTAAGTAATTAATGACAGAATTTTTGGGTGAACTGTCCCTTTAATGCTAAATATAAGCCTTTATGACTTTTAGCATTAAAACTAATATCAGAAGTCACAGAAGATGTGGGGTGTTAAATCAAACATGGTTGAATGAAAGTTAAATTAGACATGTTAATGGCTTTTGCTATCTGATGTTATCAGCGTATTCGCTTTGAAACTGTAGGCCTATGTACTGTATTAGTCAAACAGAGGCATTAAACAAAAACACAAACATTCATGTCAAAACTGTAAATGTTTATTCCAAAGAACATTCATTCATACACAATAAAAAAAAGTTACAAAAAATAACCATTTCAGACAAGCCGAATAAACTAAATGTAGAGGTCTTAAGTTCAAGGAACGATCCATGAAGGTTTGCATACAGCAAGGCACTATATACTGGCAAGAGAATCCCAAAAAACAGACATTTTCCAAAGTGAACGTAGATCCTTCTTGACGTTATTTCTCGTGTTCAGCTCATGACACTGAGCCACAGTGTGGACGGTTGAGCTAAGAGTTACAGATCAGTCAGGAACTGCTTCATTTTTCCAGCTGTTTGTCCTGGCTGACATTCCTCATGTTGAAGAGTCTCTGCAAATGTGCCAAAGCAGATTCCTCTAGATTTACACACTAATAACATCACGTCCTCAGCACATTGAACACATCGGTAAACATCTTTGATCAGCTCAGCTAACTTAATGGTTTTAGCCTTTTACAAACTTTTCCAGGTACCTAAAACAGATATTTTGTCAGATTATTCTTTCTCTTTCACCCTCAATGAAATTTTGAAACAGCATTTTTAACAAAGAGGCAACACTTTATAATAACTTCAGAGTGAAAACAAACATTATGTTTAACAGATCAGTAGTTTATGCACATTTAAACATTACATTAAAGTACATGATCAGCTTATTATCAGCAACATAATGTTACTGAAAACAATTATAAAAGGATTAGATACATTTTAGCCAATCGGAAGCTTTAAAATAAAAATAAAAATTATATAATGTTTAACAGATCAGTTCATGCACATTAAAACATGAATGCTGTATAAAAATATATAGCCAAATGAATGTTTCAGGACATTGAATGAAGGCTATTTTAATGACCTGTTAAGCTTTGCATAATGTTTGTTACTAAAGTTATTAAAAAATGTTCACCTTTCAGAAATGGATATCCACAAAAGACGTCGTGTTAAATAAAACAAATTGATCCAATCAGTAGTCCAAGATAGAAAATCAGTCTGAAGTTTTACAAGAGAACCGAAACATCTGCAGGTGGAGCAACACACAATAACTTTTTTTTATGTAACGTTACTGTAAAATCATTTCAAACAGGGTCTAAACGTAATTCCTCTTGTCATAGTCCCCGTTGGGTGTTGATCTTTTGGTGGGCGCGTATTGTGCCGAGTAGCCGGAGTTTCTGGAGGCTGGGCACGAGCAGCAGAGCATGCTCCCCCCGAGCAGCAGGAGCGCGGTGGCCGCCCAGCCGATGTAGAGAGCCGCTCCGATCTCCCGCTTCTGGGACGCCGGCACCTGCGGGTTGTAGAAGTCGGAGATGATGCTGTTGGCCATCCAGCACAGGGGCACGAGCATGAATATGGCACTGATGATGTAGATGACCCCTCCGACGTTCACCACGCGTGCCTTCACGTTCTCCGCCTTGATGCAGTTGGTGCACTGCGCGCCGGCGATCACCACCATCAGCCCGATGACGCACAACACCGACGAGATGACCGTGAGCGCGCGCGCGGCTTGGAGGTCGTGGCTGAGAGCGAGCATGGAGTCGTGGATCTTGCACTGCATCTGGCCGGTGCTCTGCACGGCGCACGACATCCACAGGCCTTCCCAGATGGTCTGCGCCACCACGATGTTGGCCTCGATGAAGGCGGTGACCTTCCAGGTGGGCAGCCCGCAGACGACCATCTCCAAGAGCGTGCCGAAGACGCACAGCATCAGACCCAGGATCTCCAGAGCCGCGGAGGCCATCTCTTTTACTCCTCGTAGTGCTTAAATCAATCTGTGCACCTGCTCTAGAACTTTGGGAACGTCTGGGAAGGCTGCTTTCCTCTCCAGAGTCTGGCTTTCTTTTCTACTAAAGTCTTTTATCCAAAGTTTCTTCTTCTCTCCAAATTTTTTTCTTTCCAAAAACTTCTATCCAAAAGTTTCAATCACAAAAACTGAAGCGCTTTGATCAGGTGGACCGCATCTCCTCGCTGCGTCTCCTCTGTGCTTTGACTAACGGACTTCTCCTGGACTGGGAATAAGTGGAGTGGAATAATAGCGGTACGCCAAGAGGAGGGGTGTGTGGGTGTGTGCGTTTGTGTGTGTGTTGAAGACTGAAGTGAAACTTTCATCCAATCGCACAAGAGAGCATCTGTTGCTCACCAATGAGGATGCAGAGAAGCTGTGCGTTTGTGTGTGAAAGTCTAAGAGGGGGGTCTTTAAACGAATAAAACAGTTTTTTTTAAACAGCTTTTTTTTAAATATAGAGCTTATTAAAAGCAGCGCAATGACAGGTATCAAAAGTGAGGCTGTGAGGTATAGATAGACTTGTCGTGTTTCCAATGGCTTCCGCTGTAAACAGCTGTAGGCTTTAAAGCCAAGAGGATTATACTTACAATTTTCCAAAGCTTATATTGTCGGGAGTTTTTTGTCAACTGAAATATCTTGGAAAGATATTTTCCAGTGTTTCATGAGCAGAACAATCCAAAAACACATTAAATAACAGTATAGCCCATTGAAGAGATGCATGTCTGTCCCTCACAGCCTCGCTTTCATTCCCATTAAAAATGCGCTGCTGTGAATAAGGTTTATAGGCTTCAAGCCTGCACCAAAACAAATATAAATAAAAAATATAAAATTAAAAAATATTATCAAAAGTTACATAACTTATTTAAATTTCATTAATACAATATTTTGTCACAAATCCTATTCGTGTTAAGACATGTTTGCTAAAAGCACTGGAAACAGCCCGCTCCCAGAAACTGTGACCTGTCTCCGCCATCTTGGCTCTAATTCGTCGCTCTATTGGCCGTCATCCACATTGCTACTTGAGCCGTAATGGCGCAACGCCCTGTCTCTTAATCCATCACAAAATAGGCATTATGGGATAAGGGCGGAATTGTAGCAGCGGTTTCCGGATTCCCTGGATTGGCCTGCTGGAAGAAAGAAAACAAGGGAGCTGGAAAAAACTCCAGGTTTTTGTGTTTTTTCACGCGTTTATAACAGGTAAGGGCTTCTAGCTCCTAAAAAAGTTAGTCAAAGTTTCTTAGCATTTGTATCCGGAAGTGATTAATCAGCCGAGGCAGTTTGTGTCAGTTCCTTAGCGGCTTCAGTAACTGTTGCATGTCAAAAGTTACATTTCAAATGAAGTTTCACCAAATAATACAGTTGTATTTCTCAAAACTTTGTTTCTCTCCTTGAAACTGTAACATGACACACGTATGTTTTGTTTTAGTGCGGGCGTGTCAGTTTTAGATGTGTTACGTGCTCTGAATTAAGAACATTTAATCAAAAAGGGTGTGGACGATAGGAGGTGTTTTCACTTCAAATGGGGTGCTATAAAAATATACCCAAGGTTATCTGGTTTCATTTATAAATTACATTGGAATTTGGCATCATGTGAATTTCGAGAGGGTTTGGGGGAGTCGAGGAGATGATGGCCAGAGTTTGACAGCACATTTCACAGTTTAATAGCACGTTCTCTGCCTGGAGCAAACCTCCTCACTTTTAACATGTCCTCCCGGGAGCCAACAATTCAGTTTATGAATTCGTTTAGTATTTCTGATAAAATGCATACCACACATTTTCTGTGTGTTAATATTGGTATGTGATAGACATTAAAATGTTCTAATAATACAATAAATATAATAGTGATTTTAATTCAATATTAAATATGTGATTATTTATGATAAATCAATATTACTATTATGTAATTATATATATATATATATATATATATATATATATATATATATATATATTTTCGTACATTTATGTATGTGCTAAATGTGGTGATAAAATTAGCAAAATACAGAAGGAATATTTTGTATGCATTAAAGGGATAGTTCACCCAAAAATGAAATTCTGTCATTAATAACTCACCCTCATGTCGTTTCAAACCTGTAAGACTTTCGTTCATCTTTGGAAAACAAATGAAGATCTTTTTGATGAAATCGGAGAGATTTCTGTCCCTCCATTGACAGCTACGCAACGACCACTTTGACACTTCAGTCATAAAGTTCATAAAGAGATCATAAAACAAATCCAAATAAATTGAGCGGTTTAGACCATTTTTTCTGAAGAGAGACTCGATCATTTTGATGAAAATATTAAATTTATGCTTTTTTTACATATAAACATAGATCAAGGAACATAAACAGAACCACAAACAAACCTTCTTGATGCACGAGAACAAACCTCATTGGTTCTTGCTGAAGCTCAAACGTGCTGCGTAACACGAGAATGAACCTCATTGGTTCTCGCACATCAAGCGAACATGCTAGAGCTTCTGTTTAGCACAATTTATGTGTGAGTTGATGAATGTTTAAATGGGTGGTATAATGCCCTTTTCACAAGATGTTAAATAAGTCTCTGATGTCCCCAGAGTGTGTGTGTGAAGTTTTAGCTCAAAATACCCCACAAATATTTTTGTATAGCATGTTAAAATTGTCACTTTTTGAGGCTGAGCAAAAACGCACCGTTTTTGTGTCTGTCCCTTTAAATGCAAATGAGCTGCTGCTCCCAGACCAGGGGGCGGAGCTTCAAGAGTTTATGTCCTTTTACTTCACACAGACATGCACTGAAAATTTCAATGTTTATGTTCAAAACACCGGAGTCAGACAAAGATGGAGAGACTCAAGAAGAAGTGACAAATGTAGAATACGACAGTACATTTCTTAATGGTTAGTTGATGAATTTATGTGTAGTTATCTTCTAGTCATTGATTAGCATATTCTGTTATGATAATCTATAAATTGCGTTCCCGGGGATGGGTTTATGTAAATTTTAGGGTTGGTGATGTCAACTAACTACAGGATGAAGCTCCTGTAGTTCCTACCAGCCGTTTGTTGTAGTCCTTAAAAAACTATTTATTTAAAAGCAAAAATCTCCCTTTGCTTTGAGCTTTGAGCGTTGTAACTTTGCATGAACTTTGTTTATGCTCAGACAGCAACATTACACACTAACTAAAGTTAGAAAAGTGAAATCATAATCAACCACCCCTTTAAATGTGAATAAAAGCCTAAATTTAATCTGTTCATTATATAAAGCGATCACGTCTCTTCAGAAGATTTGGACTAAACCGATTAGTTTACCGATCTCTTTATGAACTTTTTAAAGCGTAAAATTGGTAGTTATGTAGCTGTCAATGGAGGGACAGTAATCGCTCAGATTTCATAAAAAAGATCTTCTTTTGTGTTTCCGAAGATGGACTAAATTCTTACAGGTTTGGAACGACATGAGGGCGTTTTTGGGTGAACTATCCCTTTAAGAACGACAGTGATGATGCTAAAACAAAATCCAAACACTAGACCAAAACACATTTTGTTGGGTCTCGGGGGCATTTATAAGACCGTATTTGAATGTAATTTTTTAAGTTGAAGTCATATGTTGTTTCAGTGAAGAACAAAAAACTTCAGGCAGCTTGTATTCATCAAAATTATATCTTTTGGCTCGTGTTTTGTTAAAATAACCTTGAACCTAAATAGAAGTGGTCTAAAAGGAAATCCCCAATTTATAATAAGCAGGATTTTGGCTTTTGGCAAGACATGTGACAAGTAAACAAGATGAGTTTCTAAATGACCTCTTCTTCATTATAATAGACTGTTAACTGTTAATTTTCTTTTTTATTGCGCATATGTAGGTGTTTACAGTACACGGTGGTTCTGGTTTTGTACTGAGAAATGTTTGCATTTTAAGTAAGTGACATTTTTAGGCACCTATAGTATGTTTTATTCGGAGCAGAAAAAAATCCTTGTTTTGTACTTATTTTGTGTAAATAAAGTTAGAATAAAATGGAAACGAAACATAAATGTAATTAATAGGGCTGTCAAATGATTAATCACGATTAATCGCATCAAATAAAATATAATTATTTTGGATGCGATTAATCGTGATTAATCATTTGACAGCCCTATTAATTACATTTATGTTTCGTTTCCATTTTATTCTAACTTTATTTACACAAAATAAGTACAAAACAAGGATTTTTTTCTGCTCCGAATAAAACATACTATATGTGTGTGTACTGTGTATAATTATTTTGTATATAAATGCACACATGTATATATTTAAGAAAGATATGTTATTTATATATAAAATGTTTATATTTATATAAAATATACATTATATATAGGCTACATTCAGTCTATATACAGTATATACATGCAAATATTTCTTAAATACACATGCATGTGTGGGTATTTATGTATTAAAAATAATTATACACAGTACACACACATATATTATGTAAACACAAACTTTTATTTTGGATGCGATTAATCGCGATTAATCGTTTGACAGCCCTAGTAATTAAACATTGTGAAAATTTTTCAACAAACTTTCACAACATGATGCCTTTTTAGGCCTCTTCATGATGCCTCTTCTGCTCACCGAGGCTGTATTTATTCGATCAAATTAAAATGCAGCAAAAACAAAGAAATAATATTACAATTTAAAATATCTTCTTTATATTTGAATATGTTTTTCGTCATCAAAGCTAAATTTTCAGCATCATTACTCCAGTCCTCAGTGTCACATAGAGCTGGGTGATTTTTTTCACTAAATAAATCTGTGTTTTTTTTAAATAAAAAACTCGCTATTCGATTCGACCCCCCCCCCCCCCCCCCCCTTCCATTTAAAACAAAATAACTGCAAACTGTAAATATATTTAAAAAAATAAATATTTATTGTATTTAATTAAAGTGCATCAACATAAACAAAATTGCAACCCTTTCTCTAACTGAAAAGTCACTGTGCAGTGTGCAACAAAGATTGTTAAACATCCAAATTATTTATACTGTATTTGGATTGAGCTAATAAAACAACAAAAAATTATGAGGTAACTCTTGAGGTAAAACAGTAACACCACTCGCCATAAAAAATGTAATTGCATTCACGTAGGGAGCGTGCTATGGAAACCCTGAAGGAAAATTTGGCGAATGCAAAATGTATGTGCGCTATACTGAAGAGGGGGAGAATTTTTTTTTTTTTTTTTATATGAATCGATTTGACCTACCAACTCGATTTTTAAATCAAATCGATTTTTTTCCCAGCCCTAGTGTCACATGATCCTTCAGAAATCACTCTAATATGATAATTCGCTGTTCAAGAAACATTTCTGATTATCATTAATGTTGAAAACAATGCTTTATATTTTTGTGGAAACTGATTGTTTTTCAGGATTCTTTGTTGAATAGAAAGTTCAAAAGTAAATCACTACATTTTTATATCCACTGAATGCATTGCAGGCTGTCGGTAGGTTTTAGTAGGTGGATCGACACACTTCTGTTAATTGGCTAATCAGGCACAGATATTGGACAATAATCTTGAAATCAGCCTGTTTAAAAACAGTGCGTTTCCCAAAAGCATAGTTTGTTTTCTGTTGGTAATGACGTAACTTGCATCCATAGTTTCTTTTGAAAAACGCACCTCTGGCCAATCACTATATTGCTAGTAAAGTAGCTAAACTGTTTTTACTCGGCTAAGTAGTAGAAACTGAAGATTGTCTCTGCTATCTTGGCTTTATGTGTCCCTGTCATCAAAGGACTTTTCGTCTCTTAATTTACATCTTTAACCTTTCACCCCTCCTTTTTCTTCCTTTATCACGTCTCATCCCTTGCTCTCAATTCCTGTCCTGTATGGATGTGTTATTTCCGTCAGTGTTTGAAAGCGATTCCGCCCTTTGTCTTGAAAATCATCCATCAATACGCCAGAGCAGAGCCGCTCTTCAGAGGTGAAGTGAATTACGCCCGGGGTCGTGAGGCGGCACGTTTCACTCATAAACTCAAGTGCTGCTTTGAACGGTAGTTCGGTTATGACCGGCGAGCCATCAGCAAACCCAGCTTTCTGATCTGACTGTATATGTGGCGTTTGAGTCACATGTCTCACGAGCTTACGATCTGCTAAGCTCCATCAGGAATTCTGTTAAGAACCTCAAAACCATTTTATCTTAAAAATGGCAAATCTCTTAAGTCTGGTCATTACCTGTGCTCATGTTTGAGGGTGAGGTCGAGCTGAAAGCTGGTGTGTTTGTAAAATCTTTACTGTATGTTAATGCAAAAATCACACGTGTAGCTGCTCTCTGTAATCACTGTGGCGATAATGAGGCCACTTGATTAATCTGAGACTGGTTTATTCTTCCCATAATTCCCAGCAGCAAGCAATAACAAAACCTCCCAGTGTGTGTGTGTGTGTGTGTGTGTGTGTGTGTGTGTGTGTGTGATGAAATGGGAATCGCAGTGTCCTTCATTAAAAAGGCAGCACCGTTACGCCCACAATCTGACATTTATCCTAAATTAGTTTCCATGCATTCCAGAGAAACACTTTGACTCTTGATTTTTCTAGCTCTGGGAGTAGAAACACTTTGATTATAAAAATGAAGAACTCGATCTGTCAGTATTACAGCTGTTAGGCTTTTTTTCTTGTTTTGTACTTATTTTGTAGCCTGACTTCGTCATACTCTTATTCTAGTCAGAATGTGAGTCTGATACTGCTCCATAGGGCTTTGATTATGAGGCGTGTCTTAACCAAACCAGGGGGAAAAAAAACTCTGCACTCAATTGGATAGACCTACAACCAATGAGAGCAACGCAGTAAGTGTTTTTTTTATGAGCTACGCAAAGTAGTCAACAGAACTCAACTACACGCACGCTGGAAGTAGTAGTAAAATAATGAGTTTTGCTTCTTTTACTTGGTCCTCCATGAGTGCGACCAAAGGAGAAACCACAACGACCACAGGGTCTTCATTGCGTCCCTTCTTCTTAGTGACCATCGGAGCCAGCTGATAAAATAAACTTTTGCCGAATCCCGTAGGAAGGACGGCAAACACATCTTCCCGATCGACAAATGCCTTGATTGCAGTTCTCTGTTCGTCTTTTAAAATAAATGCGCTGTCGATTTATTTTACAACGGACGCGATAGTGGAATCTATACATCTCAGTTCTCCAGCTGCAGTCATCTCTGAGGGAAACCAGTTCAACCCAAGCGCTCTTTGATAACGTGAGGATTACGTAACTGCAGATCATCTGTCCATCATCGTATTACGCCCTGGCAATTTGATTGGCCCGACTAATTCTGAACCAATCATAATTACTCCTCAATGGATCGAGTCCAGACCGAACTTCCCGACCAAAAAATGTTGTGGGCGGGGTTAGGGCTGGGATCCAGGCTACTGATTTTGTGTAAATTAGGTTAGAACAAAATTTAAACGAAATCTAAATATGATTAAACATTGTGTAAAATGTTTAGATATTCATGACATTTCACAGCATGATGGGTCATATTAAGCTTTTTTCCCTGTTCAACATTAATAAGCTCTGCAAAGTTACAAAGCACAAATCACTCCAAAGTGAGCTATTCTCTATATTAGTGTCACTGTTTCTGAACTCCCTGAAACGCCTCCACTGTAGTCTTGAGTTTTCTTCCAGGAACAAACACGTCACAATATTCCTCATTTAAATAATTCCCACCCAAGGCTTTTGCAAAATAAAGGGGCGGGGCCTGGTTGATTTAGTTATTAGTGTTGAAACTCGTGGTTATGGTAAGGGGCGGGACATTTCCCAAACACGCTCGAAGCGGTTGACCAATCACAACACACGGGTCCAGCTGACCAATCAGAGCTCAATGAGTTTTTCGGGAAGAAGGGGTTTCAAAGATCCAGGAACAAAACAGAGCTTTTCTGACAGACTAGGAAGAAAGGAGCTGCAACAATTCAAACATCTGGGGAAAAAAATGTTCTTGCAGGGACCAAAAACAAAATCAATACTTTGTAAAAGGGCATAATATAGCCGCCTTAGGTGAACACACACACTACCGTTCAAAAAGTTGGCATCGGTAAGATTTTTAAAATGTTTTTAAAAGAAGTATCTTATGCTCACGCAGCTCACCAAGGCTAATCAAAAATACAGTAAAAATGTAATATTGTGAAATATTATTACAATTTAAAATAAAATTTATTCCACTGATGCAAAGCTGATTTTCTCTGTCTTGGGAGTAGAAACACTCATAAAAATGAAAAACTCGAACTGTCAGTATTACAGCTGTTTGGCCTTCACTGTGAAGACTTTCAGAACGGCTGTCTCTGAATCAAACACACTTTCACCTAAACCTCATAAAGCACAAAGTGTGTGTGTGTGTGTAAGAGAGAGAGAGCCCTCATTTATGGGGAGTGGTGGAAATGTAGAAAAGCTTTTCCAGGAAGATGAAAGATAAACAGTATTGTTCCCTCCCTGTTGTCACCCCTCACTTTCCTCTTCATGTCTAACACACTCACACACTCCCAGGTTCTCCAGAACAGTTTGTTCCCTATCAGTATCATCAGCACAACCCTATGCAGATCTGTTGCAGTGTGTGAAGGAAGATCAGATTTATGGAGAGCTTCAATTGACAGAGCTTCCATTTAAATGTGAATTTTTCATTTGATTGGAATGTGAAGGATTATTTCATTGGCCATCTATTGCATTTAAGATGCAAGATATATCAGTGACCATACCAGTATTTATTTATTTATTACCATTTAAAAATTTGAGGTAATTTTAAATTTTGAAAAATGTATTAATACTTCTATTCTATTGATGCATTAAATCGATCAAAAGAGGCAGTAAAGACATTTATAATGTTACAAAAGATTTCTATTTCCAACAAATGCTGTTCTTTTGTTCCTTAAAAACAATTTACCATGGTTTCCACAAAAATATGAAGTACTGTTTTTAACAAATCAACATATTAGAATGATTTCTAAAGGATCATGTGACACCGAAGCCTCGAGTTTTTTTTTAGGATTTTAGAATTTTTATTTTTTCTCTCTTTTTTTAAGTAAATGTTGTGTGTGATTGTAAGTGTTCAGTAAATTTTTTTCAGTATTATTATTATTTTTAAATATTTTTAGCGTTATATTGGCAAGATACATCAGTCTTTAAAAACTCATATTGAATTTGGCCACTAATCACTTGTTACGATGTCTTTTCCTAAACAGCGAGTTCAAGAGAAATCTACCAAGACTCCCAAAAGACCTTTGATTTAATTTCTTTTAATGTTTTGTTTTCTTTGTCTAGTTGTCAGGCAGGATCGTCATGTCGCAGTCTGGAGAAAAAGGAAAGGTAAGACGGACACTCCTACTCTTGTTGAAGTGTGTATTTGTTTTGGATAGTTCCTAACTTCTCCATTTAATGATCAGAGTTACTTGTAGGATGATTCCCTGAACATTTGCTTTTACTCGGTCGTGCTTTCAAAACATTGATCTCTTGTTTGAGCGGGCCGACATGTCAACATCTGACTCCACCAATGGAATGAGTTTAGTCCAAACAATGGACTGTCAGTTTTCTTGGTCAATGGAAGAGGAAGGGAGTGTTTGGGGAAATTATTATAACTTTTGCTGTCACTATTGTTATACTTTAATTTACAAATCATTTTGGTGCTGATTAAATCAACATACTTTTTTCTTCTTTTTTTTTAATAAGGGACAATGCACATTAATGAACATAAGGACAATGTCCAAATGTAAATGAGCCAGATTTAGCCGTACAGACTAATTTTCATCTGGAGTCCCTGGCAGATTGTTATTATAAAAACTGTATACTTTACCTTTAAAGGGTTAGTTCACCCAAAAATGAAAATGATGTTATTAATGCCTCTCCCTCATGTCATTCCAAGCCCGTAAGACCTCCGTTCATCTTCAGAACACAGTTTAAGATATTTTAGATTTAGTCCGAGAGCTTTCTGTCCCTCCATTGAAAATATATGTACGGTATACTGTCCTTGTCCAGAAAGGAAATAAAGACATCATCAAAGTAGTCCATGTGACATCAGTGGGTTAGTTAGAATGTTTTGAAGCATCGAAAATACATTTTGGTCCAAAAAATAACAAAAACTACGAATTTATTCAGCATTGTATTGTCTTCCGGGCGCACCAGACACACGTCAGCAGCGTCTTACGTCAGCGGCGGCACTGAACGCGGATCCACAACAGAACCGGAAGACAATACAATGCTGAATAAAGTCCTAGTTTTTGTTATTTTTGGACCAAAATGTATTTTCGATGATTTAAAACATTCTAACTAACCCACTGATGTCACATGGACTACTTTGATGATGTCTTTATTTCCTTTCTGGACAAGGACAGTGTACCGTACACACATTTACAATGGAGGGACAGAAAACTCTCGGACTAAATCTAAAATATCTTAAACTGTGTTCTGAAGACGAACGGAGGTCTTACGGGCTTGGAACGACATGAGGGTGAGTCACTAATGACATAATTTTCATTTTTGGGTGAACTAACCCTTTAAGTGTTAAATGTTTCTGCATTAAACTTGTTCATCGGTGTAACAGTTCTGATGTGTGTTTCTAGTTTCCTGATGCTGCAGGATATGTGGGATTTGCCAACCTGCCCAATCAGGTGCACAGGAAGTCCGTGAAGAAAGGCTTTGAGTTTACACTGATGGTTGTAGGTGCGTGACATATAAACACAGACATGGATTCAGATAGACACACACTGTGCTTTTAACTGGGTGTTATTTGTTATCTTAGGAGAGTCTGGTCTTGGTAAATCAACCCTCATCAACAGCCTCTTCCTGACTGACCTCTACCCAGAGCGCCATATACCTGGAGCGGCAGGTAAACACACACACACACACACACACACACACACACACACACACACACACACACACACACACACACACACACACACACACACACACACACACACACACACACACACACACACACACACACAGGTCCCCTGAGGTCTTTATTAACTCTACAGGATATTGTGTCCAAGACCTAAATAATCCCTAGCAGTCATGGTAAATCCTCCGTAGATTTGTAGGCCCAAAAAGCATGTGACAGTGACTCTTCACTCCCGTTTACATGCACTTTTCATTATTCCGGTTATTCGCTAAGTATTGTGGTTATTTTTAGCATTGTTACTCACATTTGCACACCACAAATTATGAACTCACATACAGTAGGTGTGTTACTGGCCATTGTTTTGATCTACTTATATCAATTGCAAAACACATTTCTATGGACGTATATAATTTTTCAGATTCTTTCGATGTTTTTGTCCATCAATATATCGCATTACATTCATGTCACACAACGCTTATCAACATGAACTCAGTTTCTTCAGCACCCCGAAAATGTGATGCTGAAGAATCTGCTCATGACAACATCATCCGTGTACGTAACTTTGGTCAGAGTGGAATAGATGCGATTAAAGTGTTTTCATGCCTGTTTATTGTGTTTATTCGGTGCCTTTGAATATGCTTTAATCACGGCCGGAGGACACCTCGTATCAATCATAGAGAATCCCACCAGCAAAAACAACACGGCAGTTTATATAGGTTGATACTGTAGCATGGTAAAGATAACGTGACATATTGCCCATCATCATCACTTCATTTTTCTCTAATATGATTGGTTCTACATTTGTGCAAATTCAGCATCCACCTTCTTTCTCTGTTACTGGCAAAGCAAATTTAGATCTACAAAGTCATGGGGTTATTAGTTCAGGAATTACTCAATATGTCATGGGGCTATTATATTTAGAGAACTGTCTAGCTGTGTCATAAGTCTCCACTATTTTGACACCAACTTTGACTAATAGTGTTGGTACATTTTGTTCTCAAATGTTATATGTTAGACCTGCAGAAAAAAAGAAATGTTAGTCATGGTTAATAAAAAAAAAAAATACTCACAAATTTTAGTTACATATTAGAATTTTTGTTTTGTTTTTGTCTTTTTTATTAGTCTATTTTTATTATTATTTTAAAAAAAAAGTTTATAATGTGAAATTTTTAAGTGTGCAAATGGTTCTTTGTCGAAAGAAATATTCTTTTCATCATGATGCCACTCACTCTGGAATGCAAACCATTTCTGATTTAGATGCTCAATGGATATAAAATCCCTTCAAATCCCTCTGTTGAGCACTTTGTCTATTAAAGCTCTGTAGAGAATAAGGTTGTTTTCAAGAAAATAATCCCGTCTGTAGCCCAGGGCTACCTCCCAGAGTTTCTCAGAAAGCGCTCATAACTTTTTATGTTGCATCAATAAATCATGATGTTTAATGTGATTCGTCTCGATGTGCCCCCTCAAATGTTTATGCACATCTTTTGTTCTGATTGGGGTTTTGTTGTGCTTGTAGAGAAGATCGAGCGCACGGTTCAGATTGAAGCGTCCACTGTGGAAATCGAGGAGAGGGGAGTGAAGCTCCGCCTGACTGTAGTGGACACGCCTGGATATGGAGACGCCATCAACAGCCAGGACTGGTCAGTGTGTGTTTACTCGGCTGAATTTATCCCGAGAAGTCAGCAAAATCTGACCAAACCTCCCTTTGGAGACATCTGGGGACATCTTCAGTTAAAAAAATTATTCAAACATACATTTTTTAGTCATTATAATTAACTTTATATAAAAGAAAAACCTATAAACATTTCTGACGTGTCCTCGTTTAGATTGCTGAATGTGTGCATGTGGTAAGAAACATTTTAGTAGAGACAAGCCACTATCAATGGGTGTGGAAGGTGAAATTTCTTTCTTCCGAGCCATATATTTACTTCTAAGTTTGACGTTCTCCATGCATTATCATTTTCCCTGTACCATAAATTATTGGTGGTGGATAATAATGGGATATTTGCGAAGCACAGCACACCTGCTGTAAATACACACCGTCACAGATTTGAATGGCATTTGTATTTGTATCTTGTTGCTACACCTATTCTGCATTGCATTATATAATTGTTCAAAAATACATTGTATTGCTTTTGCATTACTTTTTGGATCTGACACATTTCTTATTATTTCAACGCTTAAATCACACTTCTGAATGTCATTATACTATATAACCAAATAATTAAGCACCTTTTTATAGTGAAAATAAAAATCACAAGCACTTTTAAAGAAAGACAATTTGTCATGTGAAACACATACTTTGCACACGGAAAACGTGGTTTTGGAAGCGTTCCCATGTGAAATCTATGTGATAACATGTTATAAACGTGCGAAATTCATGTAATATTTCTAGTGCTTTAAATGATGTACTGTATGTAGAGAAGGTTTTTTTTTGTGTGCAAACTGTCTAAGAGCTAAAGCACATCATGCAAAATAGTTGATCTCACATAAATGCACATAAATGATGCAGATCTTGACCCATCACTACTTATTTATTTATTTCTAAAACATAAAGTTAATGTAATGTGTGTCACTCTTGACATGTTTGTGCACTTGAATAGTGCTGCTGTTGTTTTGCATAAAAATGGTCCTTAGGTAGTTGAAATAGCTATGTCTTATTACAGATATCTACCATAAAATTAGACCTTGCATGTAACTATGACCTCCTGAATGGAAGACTGAACTGATTATTAACTTAATACTGAGTGTTATGTGTCTATGTATCTGCATATTTACTTTATGGCACTTGATTGTGGATTATCGGCAGCTGTTGCCTTGTGTTTGTATATTGGTCATTGAGCCTTGCTGAGGAATGCTGGGAACGTCCTGTTTGAAAGAACAATATCCTCCCCATCTCTTACTCACAGATTTCTAATGCTGTTAATGAAAATATGCCATCCACGTCACCTACCTATATTATCATGTCATGTTTCCTCCTTCCACCTCTCGATAAGGCTGTGGTCTCAAGGCTGAGATCTAGAAAAGTGAAGTGCAGTGATAAGTGAAGCGCATATCTGCGTCAGAAGCAGAAGTGGTTTAGCGTTTGCTGTTTAGATAAGTCTGGAGACTTTAGAGCAAAAGGGAATCTGGTGGTGAGAACTGAGAGTTGGTACATGTCAACTAAAACTTAAATTAAAACCATAAAATAATTTTTGTTACTTAAAATAAATGTGAACTGAAACTAAATTAAATATAAAAACTTATTTTATTCCAGCTAGTTTCCAAGCAACATTTCTCATTTTTATTTAGTTTACTTTAATGTGCTTAAAACTACAAATAAAACTGAAATAAAAACAAATTAGGGATAGTTCACCCAAAAATAAAAATTATGTCATTAATTACTCACTGTCATGTCGTTCCAAACCCGTAAGTCTTTCGTTGATCTTCTGAATGCAATTGAAGATATTTTAAATTAAATTAAATCTGACAAATTTCTGTCCCTCCATTGACAGCAACGCAACTACAACTTTGACACTTCAAGTTCATAAAGAGATCGTAAAACTAATCCATATGAATTGAGCGGTTTAGTCCAAATTTTCTGAAGAGACTCGATCGATTTATATGATGAACAGATTGAATTTAGGCTTTTATTCACATAAACATTAATCAGTGCACACATCTGATATGGTAAACAGAAGCTCTAGCATGTTCACTCTCATGTGAGGTTCATTCTCATGTTACGCTGCACGTTTGAGCTTCCACACGAGGTTTGTTCTTGCCCGTCAAGCAGGTTCGGTTGAGCTTTAGTTTATGTTCGCTGATACATTTTTATTTCTGAATTGGCTTTATGCACAGCTGCACTACTTACTGAACTTCAGCCAGCTCCTTTGTTTCCTGTCTGCCATTATTGGAAAAACTGATTAATCCAGGTGTGCCTGGCCTCAGTAACAACAATCAGGCACACCTGGATTAATCAGTTTGTCCAATAATGGCAGACAGGAAACAAAGGAGCTGGCTAAAGTTCAGGAAGTAGTGCACCTGTGCATAAAGCCTATTAAAGCCTAAATTTAATTTGTTAATCATGTAAAGTGATCGAGTCTCTTCAGAAAATTTGGACTAAACCGCTTAATTCATATGGATTAGTTTTACGATCTCTTTATATACTTGAAGTGTCAAAGTGGAAGTTGCGTAGCTGTCAATGGAGGGACATAAATCTGTCAGATTTCATTAAAATTATCTTAATTTGTGTTCCGAAGATGACCTAAAGGCTTACGGGTTTGAAACGACATGAGGGTGAGTAATTAATGACATAATTTTTGGGTGAACTATCCCTTTTTAAAAAAAACCTACAAAAACAGCAAAATTACTAAACCTTTAAATTTAAAATGAAAGCATAATATATATATATATCTAATTATTTATTTATTTTTATATAAAAAAAAAAACCTTAATAGGATTTCAGTGATACTAAAATAACACTGGTGCATGCGGTGCGTCATTGCTGAACAAGAACCTGTAAACATGATGTTGTGGAGCGTTTTGATAAGCTTTATTTTGACTAAGTGGTTGTTCACCATTTCTAAAATGCGTCTTTCTATCCTGCGATTAGATTGTGGGATTGTGCTGAGATCCATATCCGATGTTTGTTTAATGCGCTTGTTTAATACAATCACAAGCTTTTATATCTGAGTATTTCAGCTCGTTCTCTGCTCTCTGCTTTATTCTCTTCAACAGCTTTAAGACGATCATCCAGTATATCGATAATCAGTTTGAGCGATACCTGCACGATGAGAGCGGACTGAACCGCAGACACATCGTTGACAACAGAGTACACTGCTGCTTTTACTTCATCTCTCCGTTTGGACACGGGTAAAACACCTGCACATGTTCTGCCTTTCATCATCAGTCAATAAAACATTTTATTCCTGCAGAAAGTGGCTTAGCTTTAGCCCTCAATTAAGGCCTGTTTACAGCAAGAGTGATGCATCAAAGCAACATGAATCACCAACAAAAATCACAATTGAATTTTACACTGTTCAAATACTCAGCTGAATATTTACATGCATGCTTTTCAGACTAAGTGTAAAATACATTTTCAGCAGCTTCTGAGAAAAATTCTTAGGTCACATGAAACCCCAACAAAAAAGTAAAAATTCACATCAAAGCTTTTCAAACTCAAATCCCATCCCATCACATCATTTCAGGATGAAATTTAATAGTAGATGCATTGTTTTGTTTCCATTCCTGTTATGGTGATAATTCATGCTTGGTACAAACATATCTTTACTCTGATTATTTCTCACGTTTTCATATGAGAAGAATTGTTTTAATGTTTTTGCATTTTATTAGCATTTTGTTTGATTAAAAATACAGTAAAAGCAATAATATTGTGAAATATTATTACAATAGAAAGTAACTGTTTACTATTTGAATATATTGTAAAATGTCATTTATTCCTGTGATCAAAGCTGAATTTTCAGCATCATTACTCCAGTCTTCAGTGTCTCATGATCCTTCAGAAATCATTCTAATATGATGATTTGCTGCTCAAGAAACATTTCTGATTATTATCAATTACTATAAACAGTTGTTGCGTCATATTTTTGTGGAATATAACCTTTGATGAATAGAAATAAAAAAAGCATTTATTTGAAATAGAAATCTTTTGTAACATTATAAATGTCTTCAAATTTTGATCAATGTAATGTATCCTTGCTAAGAAAAAGTTTTTAAAAACTCTTACTGACCCTAAACATTTGAATGGCAGTGTATGTCATTTGTGCTTTGTGTGCTTGATTTTTTATTTACCAGCCTGAAGCCTCTAGATGTTGAGTTTATGAAGGCGATCCACAGCAAAGTCAACATCGTTCCTGTAATTGCCAAAGCCGACACGCTCACGCTGAGAGAGAGAGAACGCCTCAAGAGAAGGGTAAGGGTCAAGCCTTTTCTCTCTAGAACAAATACAACTGATCATGTGATCCAGGACTAGTTGCAAAACTAACAACAAATGGAATATTTGAGCTTCTTTGTGGTGTAGAAACACACTTTTGACTGGTACACTGAATGTTTGGTGATCAGTCGTAGGATGTGCATGTGTTCATGTTCATGCATTGTGACATTCCTGGCAGTCTGGCGTGGACACAAGTATGTAAAAAGACACGCTGACCATGTATGTACTGTAGTGCACGGTTCTCCATGGACAATAGTAGCCTCCTTGTGCTGTCTGCAGATGTTTCCCTTTAACACGCACAGAATCACACACCCTCTGGATTGTGTCTGAAGCGAGGTCAGGTGTGTGCCGACCTGCACGCTCCATGTCTTCCTGCTGATGTGCTCCGCAGGTTAAGTAGGACGGTGATTATGTGGCGTGTATCTGGCTCGACTTCATTGGGACGTAATCTGTAATCCCACAGGAAGCTCGTGCAGATCAACATGAGCACTGGAGCTTGTTCAGCATTTCTGCTGCTGAGCACAATTATGTTAATGAACGCAGTGGTGGAGGTTTATTTTAGCAGTGTTTGAATCATACGCTGCCTCTTAAAAGTTATAAAACTCGTCCCTCCATTTGTAAAAACAAAAACAAAATTTTAGAGGATTTAACACCACAAATGTGAATCCTACCTACATTGTTGTTTAAGTGCTTATATTATATATATATATATATATATATATATACACACACTACCATTCAAAGTTTTGAAGTCAGTAAGATTTTTTTAATGTGAAGTCTCTTCTACTTACCAAGACTGCATTTATTTGATTAAAAATACAGTAAAAACAGTAATAATGTGAAATATTTAAGACAACTGTTGTCTATATTAATATATTTTTAAATGTAATTTATTCCTGTGATGCAGAGATTCATTTTCAGCATCATTACTCCAGTCTTCAGTGTCACATGATTCTTCAGAAATAATTATAATATGCTGAGAAACGTTCTTATTATCACTCTCTTTAAAACAGTAGTGCTGCTTGATTTATACCACAGCATTTATTTGAAACAGGAATCTGTTGTAACATTATAATAGTAATTAGTAACAAAAAAAATAGTAATAGTAACATTATAACGCCCAATAGTTCCAAACACTGATAGTTTCTCCATTGAACCCCATTCATTTTCAGTGCTTCAGAAGTACGTTCGCTGGTAAATTAATGAAATTACTGTATTTTTTTACTTTTACACACATTAGCCGACCTCTCGTGAATCTAGTCTGTAGTTATATTTTATGTAGCCAGTTTTAGTAAATGTTTATTGGAAGATAATAGGTTAATTGCAGCGATAGCTTACGTGACCAACACTTCACTAACGTTAGCTTACTGATAACCTGATGTATATAATATATAATATTTTTTATAATATTTTATATGTATATATATATAGCCTATATATAATATTATATACATACACACACACACACACACACAATTCATTTATTTAAATGGGTGAGGGTTATGCATGTGCTTATATGTATTTAGGAACATAGTTAATTCACTCATTAACTATCTCTCCGGTTTAATTTTATGAAGAATATTTTTCGGTTTAATATTTACCGAACATTGCTGTATATAGTCGTTGCTTTCTACGTTATGGGAGCAGTCTGTTTCCCTCCGAAATCATTCATTTGTACATGCACAGCGTAATTATTTATATTTTGTGTTGGTTGGAGTTCTGAACGGACTCACTGCAGACCTCTTTGCGTGATCACGAAGGTAGGCTAATGGCTGAATCGGAATTTATAAGCAAGATCACAGGAATCAATAGCCTAATACAGCCCAGTTGTGCTAAAATAAATATCATGAGACGTCCATCATCAGATGAATGACATGGAAAAGTTAAGTTAGAGCCGCTAAAGCCAGTGCTATTACTGAACACTAAGCTTTTCCCTCCAAAAATATAGCCTAAAACTTATCTAAGTTGTCACCCTGCCTCTCCAAATGCAAAACTGACATTAACAAAATGCAATAACAGCTTAAAAAGTACTTGGGTGTGTGTTTTATTTTATATTTACCGTTTAATAATGCAATCGCTGCTGTCTGTCCATAGAAGAACATGACAGCCCGCGTATGTTTTGGAACTATTGGGGCTTACATGAACGACGTGACAGCCGTCGCGGCGACATCAAAGCGTGTCGCAACTCTTTCTCTTTATGGCTCTGCACTAACCTAAACAACTGTTAAACCCTCAGACACCTGCTGATCAATGACTTTCACCAGCATTAAAAGAAAAGAAAAAAGACCCAGTAATCTTGTAATCCCAGTTATGTTTATGTTTCTGACTAATCTTGAGTTTAGGCCGTTTCTGATTAAATGTCCCAATTGACCTCTGTCAGCGTCTTTTGTGTGTGTAAACATTGACTTATTACAGAAAATGGTCTTGTTAGAGACAGATTTAGATTAGAGACTAATGGGATCCTGTCCACATCCTGCAATCACTGCATGTACGTCCATCTAAGTTGCAGGAAAGATTAGCCAATGTCAGCCATTTTAAGCTAAATGACCCAAACAGATGTCTAATGTGTGTGTTCTCCGGTTTGAGATGTGTAGAGATGTAAAATAGAAATAGTTCACGGAGAAGAACACAACTGATGTTTTCTATCACTCTTAATTAAATGTACTTCCTGGATGGCTCACAACACACAGGAAGTCACAGGGCTTCATTGCTTATGCTGGTCCATATTTAGAGATCGCTTTGGACACTGAATGCTTGTATTTATAGTAGTTCCTGTTATTCGCCTGCTCCTTAGATGCCAGTTTTCTCTTCCTGCAGGTAATTTCAAAACACATTTTCATAAACATTCCCACATTGCTGTGTTTGCCAATCCATGGTTTGTTTTCTAAAGGGGTAGTTCACCAAGAATAAAAATTCTGTCATCATTTACTTATCCTCACACATTTAACTTTCTTTGTTCACAAAAAAATATATATATATACATAATAAATATTAGGGCTGTCAAACGATTAATCACATCCAAAATAAAAGTTTGTGTTTACATAATATATGTGTGTAATTATTTTTAATACATAAATACCCACACATGCATGTGTATTTAAGAAATATTTGGATGTATAATCTGTATATAGACTGAATGTAGCCTATATATAATGTATATTTTATATAAATATTAACATTTTATATATTAATAACATATTTTTCTTAAATATATACATGTGTGCATTTATATACAAAATAATTATACACAGTACACACACATACACTCACCGGCCACTTTATTAGGTACCCCATGCTAGTAACGGGTTGGACCCCCTTTTGCCTTCAGAACTGCCTCAATTCTTCGTGGCATAGATTCAACAAGGTGCTGGAAGCATTCCTCAGGGAGTTTGGTCCATATTGACATGATGGCATCACACAGTTGCCGCAGATTTGTCGGCTGCACATCCATGATGCGAATCTCCCGTTCCACCACATCCCAAAGATGCTCTATTGGGTTGAGATCTGGTGACTGTGGAGGCCATTTTAGTACAGTGAACTCATTGTCATGTTCAAGAAACCAATTTGAAATGATTAGAGCTTTGTGACATGGTGGAAGTAGCCATCAGAGGATGGGTACATGGTGGCCATAAAGGGATGGACATGGTCAGAAACAATGCTCAGGTAGGCCGTGGCATTTAAACGATGCCCAATTGGCACTAAGGGGCCTAAAGTGTGCCAGGAAAACATCCCCCACACCATTACACCACCACCACCAGCCTGCACAGTGGTAACAAGGCATGATGGTTCCATGTTCTCATTCTGTTTACGCCAAATTCTGACTCTAACATCTGAATGTCTCAACAGAAATCGAGACTCATCAGACCAGGCAACATTTTTCCAGTCTTCAACTGTTCAATTTTGGTGAGCTCTTGCAAATTGTAGCCTCTTTTTCCTATTTGTAGTGGAGATGAGTGGTACCCGGTGGAGTCTTCTGCTGTTGTAGCCCATCCGCCTCAAGGTTGTGCGTGTTGTGGCTTCACAAATGCTTTGCTGCATACCTCGGTTGTAACGAGTGGTTATTTCAGTCACTGTTGCTTTCTATCAGCTCGAACCAGTCTGGCCATTCTCCTCTGACCTCTGGCATCAACAAGGCATTTCCGCCCACAGAACTGCCGCTCACTGGATGTTTTTTCTTTTTCGGACCATTCTCTGTAAACCCTAGAGATGGTTGTGCGTGAAAATCCCAGTAGATTAGCAGTTTCTGAAATACTCAGACCAGCCCTTCTGGCACCAACAATCATGCCACGTTCAAAGTCACTCAAATCAACTTTCTTCCCCATACTGATGCTCGGTTTGAACTGCAGGAGATTGTCTTGACCATGTCTACATGCCTAAATGCACTGAGTTGCCGCCATGTGATTGGCTGCTTAGAAATTAAGTGTTAACGAGCAGTTGGACAGGTGTACCTAATAAAGTGGCCGGTGAGTGTATATTATGTAAACACAAACTTTTATTTTGGATGCGATTAATCGTGATTAATCGTTTGACAGCCCTAATAAATATATATATTGTTTTATTTTATTTTTAATTTTGTGAAGAAAGTAAGTTAAATGTGTATATATATATTCAGGAATTAAGTAACCAGAAGCCAGTGATTATAGTTTAACTTATTATTATAGTTAGATTATAGTATAACTTCTATTGTGTTGTTGAAAGAAGAAAGTCATGTACACTTAGGATGGCTTGAGTCAATTTTGGGATCATTTTTGGGTGAACTAACCCTTTAAAGTTCAAAAAGGACAAAAAAAACAAAAAAAAAGCACAATGAAAGTAGTTCATGCATTATATGCATTGTATTCCAAGTCTTACACTACCATTTTTTTCACACAAATCAGACTTTTCTTTTAAGCTTTATGTGAACTAACTACTGTTGTTGCTGTTGCTGAGAAACCCATGACTACTTGAAACTTTGATTGTTTAAAACTTGATTTTAGGAA